CCATACTAGGGGAAAAGAGTATTAATACTAGTAGTACTATGAAGTACAAGTACTAGTATCACATATATATATATATACTAGTAGTAATAGTAGTAGTAGTAGTAGTACTACTACTACTACTACTAGTACTCTTATTATTTGATTACTACTATTACTATTACTTTTACCATTACTATCACCAGTACTGTTATTATTACTATTATTGTTAGTACTATTACTATTACTATTACTACTGCCATTACCATTACTATTACTTTTTACTATTACTATTTCTATGACTACGAGTATTTCTAGTATTATTACTATCACTGCTACTATTACTTGTAAGAGTTGCTATGACTGGTAATATTCCTATTACCATTACCTTTATTGCTAGTACCAATCTTACTATGATGTTCACCATTAGAAGAGTGGGGAAGAAGGGGGGGTGGGGAGAAGGGGGGATGGCTTCTTGGCCAAAGAAGAAGGGGGGGAGAGGCTTCTTGCTCAGGGCCGAAGAAGAAGGGGGGGGGATTCTTTTTCGGGGCCAAAGAAGAAGGGGGGGTGGCTGCTTCTTTGGGCTGAACGAGAACCCCCCCACCCCGCTGCCGCTATCGGCACTATCTGAGATCCGCAGCTTCCATTCGAGGCACGGCCAGCGAGGGGTCTAAAGTAAGCCTTTGACATTTTAGCAATATGTCCAGCCTCGCCCACGATTGAGTAGAGGTTCCCGTGGATCTCAGCATGCTCTTTTTGGGTTTGCTGCGATAGGTTGATTAGCTTTCCTCTTGCTCCGGCTCTCAGCTCCCTGCTCTCTCCAGGACCTTCTCATGGGGAACCTGCAAAGGCCCAGGCTAAGCCTCCATCAATGCAGAATCCATGATCCATGCCCACCTGTCGGCGGTCAGGCGCGTGATGCGCGTGCTGCGACTGCAGCGCCTGAGACTGAGGCACCTCAATTCGACGCAAACTTTTCAAACTTTCAAAGAAACTCAGCTTGTCCCTGAGCCAAGTATGCCGAGTCTGAGGATAGGACCCTTCCTCGATAATTTTGTCCAATCATGGCGATCCATGCACGTACAGCTAATCATTGAGCCGGATGTGTCAAAGCAAGAGCGTTCCTGGCACGGCAACCCGTGGCGACCCGCGAGCACACAACACTGCTCCTGCTTCGACTGCAGACATGGTATCTCTCCTTTTATCTGCTCCTTCGCTTGCGACAAGAGATCTCCACCCGCTTGGCTCAGCAGCACGCCGCCAGGAGCATGTTCGCGTCTCGCGGGGGTTTCATCTGCAAGGTCGAGGAACAAGCTGGTCCGCATCGCTGGTGTCGTCCGATTGCGCAGTCAAGAAGAACACCGTCTTACAGCCTCTCATGGCCCTTGCGGATCAGACAGATCAGATTGCACCATCAGCGGCTCCGACATGTGCGTCATCTGCACCTAGCTGGGATGACGATTCAAACACATTCTTACGGACAAAGAAGTAGATTCGATAGAGAACTTTGCTGAGAGAATGGAGGAGCTGGGGTCCCGGCTTGTGCTGATGGCTGCATGGGCTGGGGGAGAAACGGAACATTGGACAAGACGTAACGCTGTACAGCTGGCTGCATATGACCAGCAGACAGCTTGGTCCAAAGCTCATGGCCCCACACAGAGCCCAACACAAAAAGCACCAGCGTTGGCAGGAGGCAGCAGACGCGAACGACGACGAGATTGGTGCATGCATTGAAGATGTCCGGGGCCTCTTCCCGTGCCACGTTGTACAAGGAAATGATCTTGGATGGTGAGCACACTGAGAGAGGATCATCAGGCATAGGAGAGGACAAGACTTTCGCCATATCTTGGCTTTCCTTTGCTAACCTTTGAAGGCTGCCATCCGAATCTTCAATCTCCTCACCTCCTGCCCATGGTTCTTCCGGTTCTGGATCTTGGCTGCCATCGCCATCCATGCCATCCTCAACTTGACCATCAGCATCGCCCTCTGCAGATTCATCCAGCCTGTTCTCGGAAAGAGTGCCCATGTCTGAGTCGTCCTCGTGTGGCCCTTGGTCGGCTTCCTGGCCATCCTGCCCGTCAGAGCCATATTCTTCGTCCCCTGAGCTTTCTGCTTGCGCCTGGCTTGCGGTTGCCGTCGCTTCGTCCATATCATCCTCTGCGGGCACTTGCTGTGTGCTCCCAGCTTCGAGACTCTCCTCCGCAGGCTCTCCAACAGGATCCTCTACAAGCTCGTCCGTAGGCTCTTCTGCAGATTCCTCTACCGCCTCATCCACAGGTTCTGGCTCCTCTACAGGCTCATCGGAAGGTTCCTCCACAGGCTCCGCTACAGAATCATCCGTAGGCACCTCTACGGGCTCCTCTTGAGGCTCTTCTACAAATTCTGGCTCCTCTGAAGGCTCATCCAGATTTTCTCCTACTGGCTCATCCGTAGGCTGCTCCACCGGTTCCTCTGAAGGCTCATCCGCAGAGTCCGGCTCCTCTAAAGGCTCATCCGTAGGTTCCCCCACAGGATCCTCTACGGACTCATCCGTAGGCTGCTCTACAGGCTCCTCCAGAGGCTGATGCGCAGCTTTCTCTGCAGGTTCGTCAGTGGACTGATCGGATCCTTCTCCAACGGATGAGTCCTCCGTTGGCTCGGGTTCGGGCTTTTCCTCCTTTTGCCCACCAAGCCGTCGCCAGCTTTGGGCACTTGGCTTAACAGGCTGCTCCAGCTGTTCACGAGGGCCCCGATGGCCCAGTCCAGCACCAGGCTCCTCAGGCTCCTGGCGCTGCGCAAGAGGTCAGCAAATTGTGATGCACCCACCAGGGGTGACAAAAGAGGGGGGAAACTGCCTAGAGCTCTTGTTTGGTAGGATTGACTTCGAAACCCAGCTTAAGTCCCAATAGTGTCATCAGAGCAGATCCCTGAGTTTGCCAAACTCAACGTCACCTTGAGGTACCTTGCCCTGCTAGGCTCATCCTCGTCGAATGCACCCTTGCACACGAGGTACATGGGAGGGCATTGCTGTGGAAGGTGGGGACCATCAAGCTGTGGCCGGTATGCGTCCCAAACAGCAGGCGCAAGGCAGTCAACAGTCATCTTAGGATCAGTGGCGTGCCCTGCCGGGTAACAAAGTGTTGGGTCGCACGTCTCGAACCAGATCTGGGCGGCGTCGCTGCTTGTGGACATAACATTGATCAGGGCTGCTGAAAGCAGCAACGACACAATCGAGAGTACACAACAGCATGCGTTGCAGCAGCAATAGCAGCAAGCACAGCACTCGTTGTCTGCTCTGGCACCACACATGCCACACAAGGTGAACAGGCCACCGGCTAGCAAGGCATAGAGGATAGCAGGCACTGCAGATGTAAGGAGCATGTGCGGTGCTAGTTGAAGAAAGGAGCTCAACTCTGGGATGGCTTCCACTTCAGCCAAGTAGTCCAGTTTTTTTTGCAAGGTTTGCCAGCTTAACAAGCCAAAAAACAGCTGGATAACCGCGGAGAGCACGAAGCACACTGCAGTGATCACCGACACTGTTACAACACGATTCCGAAGCTTTCCAACGTAGGCGTGGTAACTGAGCACCTCGTCGCCTGGAGCTACCACGTACTGGGTTGTTGGCGCTTGCTGTAGCTGAGGGCTTGGAAGCTGCGGCAACGGCCGCATCTCCCTCGCCTCGCCGGAGCTCTGCATCATTGTGCTGAGCTGGACTGGGCCACGAAGGCCCCAATTACCAACAGCCAGCCTCCCTGTTCTGATAGCTTGAACCCGACAGCAGCAAGATAGGCCAGCTTGGCCAGCAGCCGAGAAACAACAATGCATGCCTGACACATCGCCCGAGCAACTATCCCGTATGGCCTGCTGGGCGTGTAGTGCAGTTTAGATGTAGCCGCGGAAACGTTTGCAGGCAAGATGGCTGTTTGATCTGTATGGACAGGAACCTTGCACGCAATGCAAACAAGTGTCCGCTGACCCAAATTTCGGCGTGATAACTTGCAAGTGGCCCAATTGCATCACAATTTTGTATGTATTTATTGCTTGTATGGGAATGCACACCGATTAAGGTTTAAGATGTTTTAGGCAATTTCGAATCCACAAGGTTTTCAGCACAGGTCGACTCATCCCTTATTGGCAATCCAAGCCCTAAGCTTTTGTTTATATTGCTGCCTTGCTGCTTTGTCTTTAGCAGCACATGCATGCCCAATGATGAGATGCCATTTGCTCAGAGGCGAGGTGACAGGCCCCAAAATGCGACATGCTTTGGGAGGCGCGTGCGAGTACGAGAGCACGTGACGAGTTTTTTTAAGTCCTGCGCGCCTTGGGCCAAGGGGGCCGAAAGGAGTGGCTTGGAAAACAGAACAGGGCACTTCGGCTAAATGCCCTTTGAGGGCCTCAGATTGAAAACATTGCATATACTGGACACCAAAGTCTCAGCAGAAATCATCGTTTCATCGTTTCCTGGAGGTCTTCAAGTCTGAAGCTCCTTAAGCTCCAGGGCGAGTCCGGCTGTGGAGATTTTCCCCGACTTCAGGTCACTTGCTGAGGGCATCTTTCCCATACGCATGAGCTCTCCGACCACAACTGCCACAGGGTCTCGCGACATGGTTGCCACAGCCTTCACCTCATTCTTAAGACAGTAGTACGCAACGAACTTCAGCTTCTTCAGGTCACCATCAACCACCTGGCGGTCACAGGCTCATATTCACATTGGAATTAGTTTCTCAGCTCAGCATGGATATACAACTCTGCATTCCTGATGCTCCAAGCTAATGTCAAGGACTGAGTTCATGACCAGCTCATCAAACTCTGTACAATGGCCAACGTATCTCAGGTTTTTGCCGAAGAGGGATGTCCAAAAGAAAGGGGTCTGATCAAACCTTTCATCCTTTCCCAGCATGTTCTTCGCTGCAATTCGCCCCTGACTGGTTGCCACATCCCAGTGCTCCACTCGCATAGTTGAGCCACTACTGCACCTGTAAGTGCAGACATCCCCAGCAGCAAAGAGGCCGTCTGCGCTGGTCTTAAGATACTCGTTCACCACGAGCGAGCCATCCCTTGCCTTTTGGGCACCGTCGATGAAATCCGCGTTGGGGACCACCCCAACACCAACCACAATTGAGTCGCACTGCAGCACCTCCCCAGTCTTCAATACGGCCTGCAGTGAGGATCCATTCTGTTTGATCTCTGCTGCCACTTTACCGCCCATGAACTTGATTCCTTTCGATTCGAAGAAGTCCTGGCAACAAGACCAGCTGAAGATCTCTCAGGGCAGAATTTATGCACACTTCTATGCACCTTGAGGGCAACACCCAAGCGGCCCCCCAGCACGCGCTCAAAAGGCACCTGCTTCCAGGACCATGGACTTCATGGACCAGCATCAGCAAAATGGGAGCACCTGCTCCATGCCGAGGACGGTGACCTCGCAGCCACGCCGCCGCAAAGTCGCAGCCAGCTCCATGCCTAAGGTATGAGCTGAGTTCACACCTTCCTCACTGCTGAATGTCTTGCTGGTGCAGAGATATGTCTTGAGCCGAGAGTCCAATGAAGGATGATCCAATGACAACCTCGGTGGGATTCGGTGGGTCAAGCCTCTTATGAGAACTGGCACTTCATGCAAACTCCATTCAAAGTTGGCATGCTAGGTTGTTCTTCTAAGATTCTCCAAGCGGCCACCTTCTTCCCGTTAGAGCAGCAAGCGGCTATGCGCTGTGCATCCTCTGGCGTTCGTAGCGCTAGCACCTCTGATAGATCTGCTCCTTTGATCGGAAGTTCTCTAGGTTTTGCGCCGGTTGCCACGACAGCAGCATCATATTGGATCGCCTGCCTGTTAGCTAAGTGAACTGTCTTGCTGGAAGCATCGAGCTTCTCCACCTTGGCAGATCGCCGTATCTCAATATCATGCTTGTCGAAGTATTCCTGATCCCTGAGACTTAAGGACCCGGGATCGGACGCCTTGCCCAAGTTCTTCGAAAGCACAGGTCTGTCGTAGGGAAGGTGCTTCTCTTCAGTGATCAATAGAATGCGGCCCGTGTAACCTTCTTGTCGCAGTGCGTCCGCCGCTGCCACGCCTGCAGCTCCACCGCCCAGCACAAGAAACACTCTCGAATCCTGGCTATCTCGTTGTGCCATGACCGGTGCCACAAAGTCATCCATGTCTCGGGGAAGGTCCACTACGACCTCGTCCGACTCTACTGCCACTTTGTAGGTGGGAATCGCTTGCAAGCCAGCACCACGAACAGGCTGCCCAGTACGGATGTCAAAGGCTGCATTGTGCCATGGGCAAACGACATGCATCTTGTCCCTGGCTGCAACTCCTTCAGCTAAGGGTGCAGAGTAGTGACTGCACGAAGCACCGGTTGCATAGAACCTGGACTATAAGCAAATTCCTAAAAGGGTGTCCACAAACACGAGGGACAAACAGTATGCAGTACGAGCCACGTTCCGTCAACGCGAGTGAGCAGGATGGCACCCTCACCCGCGCCGTCACTCGTAGGAGGAATTCGGATCTGACGAAGCTCTCCCTCTGGAAAATCGGCCGCACGAGCAACTTTGACTCTGCGCACCGTCGGGGGCCTGTTAGCCTCCTCTGAGCACTCAATCGAGGACTTGTTCAGATAGCATGCTGCAGCCAGGCTTCCTGTGAGAGCACCGAGCACTGGAAGGACAGTGTTGCTGCTGTTCTCCGTTGCTTTACATATCGGGACGTAAGCCTCAGGTTGCCATGCAAAGTGGATGCAGGAATCAGGACCGTGCAGCCGCAGTGCAGCCGCAGTGCAGCCTTGGAACAAGCGATAGAGAGCGCCAAGGCCGGCTTGCCAGGCTTGCCAAACGGGGGCGCAGGCAGCGCATTCGCAGCATGGTAGCACCGAGTTGGTCTGTTCGTATATGACCTACGACATGGTCGACCGACTTCGAAAATTTGGCAACATTACTTCAAAAATAATCGTCTGCAAATACTCTGCGTGGTCTGCGGTGCTTCCATTTGTTTGTAGGTATGTTTCAGCAGCCGACAGAAATGCTGCTCAGCAATCACTCTGCCCTGATTACTCTTACAAGACTTGCAAAAAAATCTCGCTACAATCCAGCCACAATGTGCAAGGAAATCAGCATCCTGAGGCCAGGCTACACCGGGCCACAAGCACCACTTTGAGTGAAGGCACTTTACTCACTTTAGCAAGACACTTGAATAGAATGAATGCAGGGGGAACACGCCTCAAAAGCTGTAAGGGCATGAGATCTTGGTTCATGCAATGTTCAGGCAAGAAAACAGACCATTTTTGACGCGTAAATTTATTCTACTTCCAGCCTGCCTCTCCTAGCCGAAGTGAAACTGGCTGCAGGAGCTCTGCCTGTAGCTCAGAGGGCTGTTGGCTAATCAACAGCTGGCGAGTACAGCTGTCGAAAGGAAAACAGCTGGCCGGCAACCCTAGGAAGCTTTTGGCCACAAAAGATGAACTCTTGGGCACTTCTGATGTGAAGGGCCGTCAATGCGTAGCACGACCTAGAAATCGCTGTGAAACAAACTATCCCTGCCGAAGCAGTTTAAAGAATTCAAGCTGAAGGCCTTTGAGAAACGTCCTTTCTGCCGTGCAAAAAGGCCAAGGGGCCCAGTGGCCCAGGACCTGCTCAAGCACTGCTCAAGCATGCTTCCTCTGATCTTCGGCAGTCCACCAGGAAGGCAGCCTGAGAAGCGAAAAGCTGAACAGCAAACGGATCCATTCGCGGTGCACAACTCCTAGTGTCCTAGTGCCAGTTGTCAGCTCCGACCACTCTGCAGGGCCAGAACCGACGCAGAGCAGACACCGATCCTGCTACGGTCACTTAGTTCAGAGATGCTACCCGCACATCTTTCCATAGGCTGCCAAGACGATGCCGGTCATCAGCATTGCAGGCCGATGCGAGATGGACAAGAAAGTGCAACTGCTGCGAGTGGTCGGCACAGGCAAGTACGAGTATCAGTACACTTGCTGAACATGCCATGGGTCCATGTGCACTGCAGTAAGCCTATGGCGTGCCACCATAGATGCCTGCAAATGCAAGGCGTCTTATCTGGCATGATCAGCAAGTTCTGTCCACACCTGTCGCAGCCCGCTCCCTCAGCGACGGCTCCCCCAGGATCAGGCCAAGCCTTCACAAGCAATGCACAACTGAGACTTAGCGTGCAAGGACACGGGGTGTCTCAAAACAGGGCTCAGGCTTCTGGATCAGTTCATTCTGAAACGCCTGCCTGTTCCTGAACACAGGCGGCTGGCATGCGGCAAAGATAGCTCCCGTGAATGAAGCTGTTCGTCTCTGTTCGCCTTCAAAGCTCATTTTACACGCAGGCCGAGCAGGCCTGTGAAACGTGGGATCCGCGCTGGCCACGAACATGCGAACGCAGTTTGCCTTGCAGCAAGTAGAGCGTGAAGCTTCTTGCAACTGTTCGACCGGCTGCAAGTACAACCCGTAATATGCAGCCTGCATAAAGTACTTGGGATGCGCGAGGACTCGCGCCTACGCAACAAGATGCTGGAATCAAGAAATACGGCAGGTATACTGAGCAAGTTAAACCGCAAGCCTGCCCAACTTGGGTTGAACTGTTACTGTCCAGCCATTTCGAAATTGGCATCCGCCTGGCGGGATCTTGTCCCAAGTAACATGACAGAGAGAGTCGAAGCCACATGAAGAAGCCCCGCACTCGTCATCAACTGGCCCATACGGCTTCGCTGCCTGCAGCATTGGAAACGAGGGACTGGGCATCACTGTCGCACACTGACATCGCAGCACAAGATGTACTGGGCACGCCGCGTAGACAAGCTTATCTACCAGGTGACCTGGGGCTTTAAAGGCCAAAAAACGGGACCCCTTCAAGCGGTTGGAAGGGCTATGAAAAGCCTATATAGGGTCCCTTTAAGAGGGTTATCGGGGCTATACCCCCCGCCATGGTATGGTCCCAATCTGGGAATGAGCCATATCTATAACCTCCCAGAACCATGAACTCTCCGCGAAACTTCTCTAAAACCTTCTTTGAAACCCTCTATAAGCCCTCACCACAGGACAGGACCCAGACTACAGGACCACGGGAGCACTGGAGCACAGGGGGGGTTACCCTCATAAGCTTCCACTAAGGACTCTATAAAACCTTCATAAGACCTCTACGAATCTCTACGAACCCTCCAGAGAACTCTCTCTAACAATTTGCAAGCTGTCTATAACAGCTATAACCCTTTGTAAACCTTCTACAATTCTATAAAAAAACCTTCATAAACCCTCTAGAAATAATCTTTCTCTATAAGATCTGTATTAAACTCTATCAAACCTTCAGAAAAGACCCCTTCAACAAATTTTCTCGAGACCTCTGAACACCTGCTATTGAATTAATGAACTGTCTGCGAACCTTCTTTAAATCTTATAGAGGCCCTCCAGAAACACTATAAGCTTCTATAAGCTTTATCTAAACCTCTCAATTAAACCACCAACCCAGACCACAGGACCACAGGAACACAGAATATGGGGATACGGCAGTGCTTAACCGCAAATGTTCACCAGGTGTCCCAAGCGCACAGTATCCCTGCGGTGCCCAACGCCCTTTACGGCCCCTCTAACCCATGTAATAGACCTTATGTAGGCCTCATAACCCCTTTTGAGGGCGAGGAGAACATAGACTCCTTTAAATCGATCAACCCGCGGTGAGGGTGGGGAACAACCCCACTGTGAGGGTGGAGACCACACACCCGCGCAAATGCTGCCAAGATGCGCTTGATAAAGAGCTGCATCAGGTGACCAGGCTTGCCACTGTGACATGCCTCGCAGCAGGGGAGATATGTGCATGCAAAAGTGATTCCAATGAAGACATATGCATCAGCCTTGCCGCCAAACTGGGAGACATCCAACCCGTGCTTCTCTGACCTGGCTTTGGCTTGGAGGATCCCTCAAAGCCCTCTCCCTCGCCATTCCATGTCTTGGAAAAGCAAGCACATTCCACATGGCGATGATTTCGTCAGCGAGCTTCCGAACCTAGCGACCACAACTCTAAGAAACAGAAATGCCACCAAGATTTGTTGCTGGCCTTTGCTTTGGGCACGTAGCAGCTCTCCAACAAATTTTCGAGGACCTGAGCTGGATCTTCAGGGCGCAGCGGCTTGGGCATGTAGATGGATGTACATACATGGATTCACATGGATGTACAATGTACCCTCTTGACCGCCAAAGCACACCGCGAAAAGACAGGTCCTTGCAGCTGTAGCCTGGCTCAAAGAAGAACAACGCCATCACACAGACCGCATAATGCGTGGCTAGGCACCTGCGATGAAAACCATGGCAACCTTGGGAGCCAAAAGTATGCAAATGCTTTAACTAATCCCACACGAACCGCTGCTGCTCCAGTAGCTTTGCAGGCAAGTGTTGATCCCCACCGGGACTTCTTTGCCGTCTTCTCCCACGGAACGGTTTTGCTGATCACCACTGGAAATGAAGACAACTTGGCTCCTGACACATGCTTCTGGACCAGTGGATGCCAAGGAGCACATCACAGACCTGAACAGATCTTTCTCGCAGATTGCAACAAGCTGGAAGTGAATAGGGGGCCCTGCAGTCCAACTCGGCGGAAGTCCGGATGATGGTCGCGCCTACAACTGTGATACGTTCCAGGCGCTAGATGTTGTCTCAATATGGCATCCCCAGATCCACTCAGTGCGCATGAATCTTTGTCGTGCGCAGGGCTTCAGCAATCCAAGAAAGGAGAGCCAAGGTCCCGTCTTGCTAGATGCAAACTCCTCGTTGAACCTGAGCCCAGGCGGACATTGAACGGCAAGTGTCTCATATCCTGCTTGGTAGATCCACGTTCTGGGCCTCTTCATCAGAATAGCCGCGTCTGGTGTTTCTTTGAACTCATGCCTGCAGTTGACACAGTAAAGCTGAGCTTGTTGGCACGCTCACTGAAGCGCTGAGGGCGCAACACCAAGATACGAGGAAGCGTTGCATACCTCGGACGTGCCAGCAAGTTTGCCCTGAGGCTTCTTCAGTTTAAGTGACGAGCAGCGCGAGTTGTTGCATGTCAAAACGGAGGCAGGGATGTGTGGACTTACTGTTTGAAACGCATGCACGAGCAAAGTCCCTTCTCCCACATATTGCTTTCCTGGGCGGGGTTGCGTCAAGCTTCCTTCACTCGCGCGGAGGCGCGAGACTTCTCTCTCACCACCTAACCCTCTGACTATGGAGGGGATGCCCTTGCGGCCCTTGCGGCAATTTGGAACCATCCACGCAAAGGCCATCGAAATATATCGAAATATTTTCCAGATCCCTGGTTCTACAGATGTGCCATGTGAGAAGCCAAAAAAATGCCCGGGGCTGCAGCTGCGACCGGAACCGGAAGAGGACGCTCCCAACTGCGGCATGCACTTCGTATATCAGCGCTGCGAAGGAGTACCTTGCAACATGCTGCAGGCGACTGGAGCAAGCTCACAGCTGTTGCATAGGCAGGCGCACGAATGGTAGAACACCGCCCACTCACCACACAACCTAGCCTCGTTGGCTTCGAACTGGGCGAAGCATTTCTGGCGCAGGAGCTCAGCAAACTGCTTTGCAAGGAGGCCGGCTGAAAGAAGGTCAGCCTTTGCATGTTCGTTGCCCTCCAATACCTTGTACGGGTGCATGGAAGCACCGCCACCTTCATCGTTCAGCTGCATGACCCATAAAAGCGGAAATTGTACAATGTGAGGGTCCAGCGTTTGCTCTGTGGACCATACCTTCTTTAGCGATGCTCAGAGTGGTGTCTGTGGGGGCGCGTGCACTCTGAGTGCTGCACGAACGCTGCAGTGAGACTTCTGGAGACACGGCAGCCTCTACCCAAGTTGAATCGCCAGAGCCCTGTGCTTTCCTGGATACCGGGCTCGCGACGCTTGAAGGCCCATCCATATGCGGATCCGCTGCTCCCGGAACATCTTCCTTCAACAGACTGAGCCTGTGACTGCGTGTGCGGCAGAAACAAAAAACCGAAGCCTCTGGCACTGGTTCATCCTCCCCCTTGTCAAGGATTCGAAGCTTCCGCCTCACTTTGCTTGCAACGCTTGGGCACACAGCAATTCGCGCTCTCGAGACTATCCGCTCTTCTGAGCACAGACATCACAGACTGGCGTGAGCAGCTTCAAAGTAGTCAAACCAGATCAGACACGGAAGGTGCCTATTGAGGGCCATGTGCAGGGGGCGTGCTTGACAACAACAGGTCAAGTAGCATCTTGCCAGTGCTGACATTGACCTGCATGCCACCCTCGTCTGGACCTTATCAAAAACACTGGTCTCCTCAATCAGATGCTGGTCTCAGATTTGAGAGCAGGTCGAGAGAAGTCGACAGTGTAGTTCTGGCCACGGGCGTGTATCCTGAGCTAGAAAATTGACCACACAAGAGTTGGTCTGCGACGGACGACAGCTGAGGCCGAATCTGAAACACAGTTTCACCCTTTGCCAAATGTTGGCAGATGGCTCGTGTCCTTGGCGCCAATGCAGCAAAGACCCCGCGATACCATCAGGCCAGATTACTAAGCACAATTCTCTTCAGTCGAGCAGTCCCGCCATCCCCCTTCCAGCTCGATTTGAACTGTGACCTGCCAAACTGAGCCACTATTCAGAGCATTCGAAATGAGGACTTGAGCTGGTGGCATCAAGAGGTGAGTCTGCCAAGTACCCAGCATTCCTCCAAGACAAGACCCTGTCTGCAGTGTCTGTATCGGATGCTCAGCAGCTCCTCTCTGAGGCAGCCAATGCTCGAGCAGGAGAAACCTGGAAGTGTCAACAGCAGAGAGAGACTTCAAATGAAGCAGCTGAGAAGCAAGCTGGAGATTTGTCACCAGTAATCCAGTCTAAGTCGTCATCCACCACGCCCTCGCATATGTTGTGGCAAAAGCTGCAGATACAAGAGGGCAGTAGCACACGCGTACACCTCAGACGGCTTCGTGGAAGCCGCTCTCCCGACATCGGGAGCTTTGCTGCGGTCTTCAGCCTGGTTGTGCAGTTTTATCGTAGAGCGCTCATAGCGCTCACAGTGTCTTGGCTTAACTCTTGACATGCCTCCGGTCGCGATGCTCGCGACTCGAAACAGCCCATGGCCTACATTGACAGCATGTGGTGATTCACAGTACCTAGATTTGCAGAGAAATTGCAGGCTGCCTGTGCCACGCCAAAGCCGCCGAATTTCTTACATTGGGCCCAACTGTGGCTAAACTTGAAGACTGCAAAAGGTGTGGCTTTCTTTGTTGCCTCTTCACTGATATGTATGCCCGCATTTACGTTGAGAACGGGTGACGGAGCCATCCGTGCGTGTGGACTGCTAGCATGTTCTGAACCGAGTAAGCTGCGAGAAGGCTTCTGCTGCACAAGCTCTGGCGCGTAACTTAGCATGCTGAAGACTTTCACGGCTCGAAGTGCGGACTACGCGCAGAAAAATCTAGGTTGTACTATCATCGAAAGACCCAGCGGTGCAAGGCAACATCTGCGATTGTTGCTATGTATCAATCATGCAAAATTAATGTGCATAAGTATGCATCGCATCACACCACGCAGCACTCGGAAGACGGGCTTCCATGCGAGAAAGCCAGCAAACAAAGAATTTGCCCGGGATAGGGCCCGGGCATTAAATGTTCAGATAAAACAAAATTCCATGTGTCCAGGTGGGACAGTTTAGCCGCTCACAACAGACCGTTGTGACCTGAGCACTTAGTTGCAACAAGCGTGAGCAGACTGGATATGGCAAAGTGCTTGCCCCGTGATGGGGATTGGTACACCGCCAAACATGTTATCGGATGCTTGCAGCCGGAAATGAAAGCGGTGTCCACACTAGCATTCCTGCAGTACGACTCAGTACGATGAAGCAGCCATCATCTCAAATCGCAAGGTTGTACGGAGGGCAGGCAACATTCAATCGGGCTTGCATTAGCTCTCGAGAGTACGCAGCATACTTCTTCAGCAAGAAAGTGTTGGTGTCCCATGATTAATTCGATATCACGGGCTCGCTGCGTAGCAGCGCGTCAACCGTTGCATCCTGAATCTGGAATTGCGCGCACGCACAGTTCTGCCCCGCGCAGCTACCATGTATCTGAACTCTGGAACAGGACAGTCCTTCCCGCGGAAGTCTCGATAGACCTCCCAGGCAAAGCGCAGGTTGATATAATGTCGGCAATAGAAAAAAGGAACTGTCCCTCGCCAGTATTTGCAGACATACGGAGCGCAGGTGCTACCAAACGACATGAAATGAGCGCGGAAACACAAGAATCAAGCTTTTCTCACACAGCTCCGAGTGCTGGAGCAGTCCCCCGCAATTCGAACATGCACAGTAAAAATCCAGGATGTGAAGCATTGAAATTGCGTGCGCTTCAAAGCGCGCGCACTGGAAGCTCTCATGCGGTGCCGCAATGGCTCATGGCCTTTTGGATCATTCCAAAGGCTTCCTGCGTAAATGTTGCAGATTCACAGCCGGGCATGCAACGGGGCCACGGAGGTCAGTCCTTGCGCGTTTTCCTCTCCATCTCCAGTTCCTGTCGAAGCTTGGCATGATCCTCACCGGGTTCAGCATTCAACCGGCAGCACTTGCAGCACTTCATGAACACTTGATTCAAAATCTTTAGACAGCAGATGACAGTGGCCAGGCTTTGCCAGAATGCACTCCTGAAGCCTAGATCGCACTTCTCGTTGTATGGATTCTCGGCAGTCCTGGAGGCATTCAGAACACCCCCTCCCTGTATCTGCTTGGGACGCAGGATGCTGGGGAATCTTCCTCGCGAAGCTGTAGGATCGCCTCTTCACGACGACGCGTTTCCACTGCCACAGCATCGGAGATCCTGTTCGTCCAGAATCTACGGCAAAACTGTACCATGCAAAGATGGTTGGGCCAGGCCGATCCGACTAAAGACTGGCGATGTGGGATTTCTTTTGACAGTAAGCCAGCAAAAAAAGAGCGCGCAAGCACCTTCTCGAGTGATCCTCCAAAAGCTGTTCCAGCTGACCATCCTCACATAGCTCTTGACACTGGATCAGCTGTGCCATGGGTAGATAGGCTTACAGCGAGCAAAACCCATAACCTGTGGCATGGCAGAACATGTAAAAGCCAACGCATTCAAGCCGTGCTTCAGAAACATCAGATGGGTCTTGCTTGGCATTGGCGGTAGCCTCCATAACGTCTGTGGCTTCGCAGCGTGCCTCGGGTGGAGCTTGTTTTTGACTTGTCTTTTTTGGGGGAGAGGGCGGGGGGAAGCCTTTTTTGCTTGGGGGGTCGGAATAGGAGGACGCTCCACATGAGAGATCGATTTAAAGGCAAAACGTGAAGACGCTCATGACGCTCCACGCGAGAGCTCGATTCCGATGCAAAATGTCAGAACGCTCCACGCGAGGGATTGATTTGCGAGCACAATGTGAAGACGTTCCAAGGGAAAGCAAGGCAAAATGGGTGTAAATACAAACGATCTTTGGTAGCCCCCACATAAGAACAGCATGCACCGAAAATGAAAACAGGCAGCTGTCTGCTCAGTCCAGCAATGTTCTCCCGGACGAAAATGAACACCAGGAGCAAATCACCGAGTGGGCCCCATCCCCATTTGTTGGAGTGGTAGGTCTGGCCATGCCCCCTCCCCCGGAGGCACGAAACTGGTAACTTTTGGTCAGGTGAATGCCTGCAATTGGGGTGAGGGTGGGGGGTACAGGTTTATTTTTGTCTGGCCCGGATTGTGGCCCGGTCCCGGTGGCCCGGTCCCGCGGTCCCGGTGGCCCGATCCCCGTCCTGCTTCAGCCGCTGGCTGGGTGGCCCGGTCCCGGTCCCGGTCCCGGTCGTGGCGCGCTGGCCCGTGGCCCGGTCCCGGTCCCGGCTATACTTCTGCCGGCTCTGGCCATGTCCTGTCCCGCCGGTGCCGGTGGTCCCGGTCCCGGTCCCGGTCCACGTCTGTCTGTTTTGCTGGTCTGGTTTTGGTGGCGGCGGCCCGGTCCGTCCCGGTGGCTCCGTTCGCAGCGGCTAGCATCCTGTCCGGTCCCGGTGGCTGGGTCCCAGTCCCAGTAAAGCGGATCATCTATG